TCGCAGGGTAAATAATGTACACTTAACATTAGATAGTTAGTATTGTGCATCTTTCAAGACTATTGAACAGTGTCTAGCATGTGGAAAGTGGGAATTTAATCGTAAGATGTCATTTTCGTTTGCACTTCCTTTCCTGGACGCATTCCAGTTTGCCCTTTTCCGCGGAATTGAAACTGAAAATCACTTCATTTGCGCTAGGCAGGAATGTCTTATTTTCGAAGGTGCTCTTGATTGCCGAATCGTCACTTCGTCATTATAGTTTGTGGCCTTTTAATCGCTTCTCACATGATGGTGCCCATTATTTTTTTCAGAAACACGAATGATTACACCTGATATGAATCTTTTGTCTTCCGACACGGCTTGGCTCACTGCCGACTATTCAGTTTTGACAAAAATGGAAAGTGAACTTTATTTCATCCCATATTTAACGTGTAATCTGTCTAACTTCCTGTCTTTCCTGCATGATTTCGTTGACTTAAATTGTGGTAGTGCTTTTCTTTCCCCAATTCACCAAATAAGTAAAGAGAGTAAATTTAAATTGAAGAAATTTGTTGATTTTTCTATCTTTGCTAATTCATCTTATTTGAGCAGTACTTGTTAGTGGCGACGGCTTAAATGAACTTTTATTCTGACTATGTGGACAAACTTTGATTAAGCAATTTTCTTAAAATCATGCTGAAATAATAACTGCTGTTTTTATCTGCTACACAGCTGTGGTCGCTGCTTTTTTCGTGGCAAAATGGATTAATTTAGTTTCCTCTGCAATCGTGGTTTTCTCATCGTTCGCCTTAAAGAACTTAGATATTCTTCGTCATTTGGCGGCATTCATTTGATATTCTTTTTGTTAAAGGTGTAACGCTGTCCAGTGATTTCATAACCGGCTTCTGCGGCGAGACTGAAGACGACCACCAACAGACGCTGGAGTTGATGAATGCCGTTCGCTACAATTATTGTTTCGTTTTCATGTACAGCATGCGAAAGGTTAGTACATCTTCGTTATTAGCTTCATAAAAATTTATCTTTATGCGACAAAGCAAATTATTAAAGTAGGCGACTTCTTTCTGTAAAGTGTTTCTGTTTTGAGTTATTTGTGTCATGAGGTACTCATGATTTTAATTTCAATTTACTTGATGGACTGCACATGAATAATTCTTTATTGCTTTCAGGTTTAAGCCAACTAGCTGTTCTGTTATATACTCCGCTATTTTAATAAAGTCGATATACTTAATTGTGCCATCTCTCAGCACAGCATTGCGTGTAATTTTGAATATAATGTGCAACAACACATAGACGGAGGTGGTGGACGATCAAGCGTGGTTTCATAGTTAACAGACACTCGAGAGTTCACAACACTACCCTCAGAGCTTATGGAGAAAACCAGGAAACTCGACCAGTTTTTATCTCTGCTGTGACTACCGGCATAAGGCATACGGAACTTCGAAGAACCGTCATGGTCGTGGGGTATTTGCAACATATCACTTTCATGTACGTATGCAGAACGTTGTATTATCAGTAATAGTCTCTCTCTCGGAGTGGTTCATTGGCATCGTATTGGTTCATTGGAATTACTCGTGCCCGTTGTCACCGACTTTATTTAGAATATGTGGCGAAACGGTTGGGCGGCTACCGTTTTAAAAATTTACCGATGTTTCAAGATCAGGTCAGAAGGAAATCGATTTATAATATTAATTGGAATTCTTTTAACGAAGTTATAATTCCTGCTAGAAAACGTCAATCACTGGTCTCAAAATCACGAACGCTGAAACCATAACAGTGACAAGATTCATTTTCCCGCACGAAATATCATGTGAGAGTGTCGAGCTTTGACAACTTGTTCTCATTCAGTATCTTGATTCCATCTTTGACAAAATCTGTACTTGCAGAAAATAGATTCGTCAACGTTTGCAAACAGCTGAAACTGCGGCATTAAAACCTCGCGATGTAGAGGCTTTTTAAATTATTGTTCTGATCAGCGAGAAGCTTCGATTTTTGAAAATTAGGTCATTGGACTGTTAGGAGATATGTTTCGTTAGAAATGGCTATTGCAAATTTCCTGCGTGAACATGTACACTAACAGATGGTTCTCCAATCCATCTTGACACTCCAGTTTCTCTGCTGAAAAACTATCTGGAGGAACTGCGATATTTTGATCACATTACAAAACTAAATGACGGCTCTCTGAAGAAAATATTAAAGCAAGGCTTGACTCTGAGATTAAGACTGCAAGGAAGATAAAGATGGCCCTCGACCGATAACATATGATTGAGTCGTTCGTTCAGGAGCGAAATCATTGCTTGAAATGGTAGACTATGCTGTTGACGCCATCAGTAGAGCAGCTGACCAAAGGCACACAGGGCAAATGCATGAATGTAAAAACATTTTCTCACATTTAAATACAACACTGTCTGGGCAAATTTGTTTCGATCTACACACGTACAATTGCAGGAGATGTACAGATCAGTTTACGTAATGCAAATGCGTTGAAAGTTTTGTTACATACGAGTTCAGATTTTTCTTAGGTTTAGAAGTAGCACATAACGGAATTGAATTTTCAACGTACTTGCATTTGGTTCACCTATTTGTACAAACCCGTTAATTGTATGCGGAGACGAATGGATTTGTACATTTTATAATTAATCGTAATGATTTAAAACTTGTTCACTTGTGTGATATGTTGCTGAGCATTTTTGATGGGGTTCCTCTGAAAAGAGAATCGTAATGAAAGAGGTACAGAATTTGACTGCATAGTGTCTTGAAAAATAGTGAATGATCCTCATCCATTAATTATTGGAACATATACAGTGAGGTACGTAGTGAACTGATAGGCTGGGTGATTTGTGGCAGCAGATCATGCCTGAATTTTGTTTCAATGCGCATCTGATTTTCGGTTGTTGTCCCTGTGTGGGCTGTCTCCTTGGCATATGTCAGACACAAAGAGAATGCTCTTATAAGCGACAAAGAGCGTATATTGTACCTAATGAGCGCATAATTTTACCTAAGAGGGTTTCAACGTGTATAACGCAATTAATGTGCCTGAAATCCATTTAAACTGGCCACAGATACAGAATATGGGCATATGCAGTGCAAAGATTCATATGATAATATTATTAATTAAAGAAATACCTGGATTATTGTGGTATTTGAGGAGCTGTACTTTTTATGTACTGTTAAAAATTGCGTTCCTACGTCAAAGTAATGTAATAAGCACATAAACCTACCAACTATATGTAATATGTTTGTATTTTCAGAAAACTAACGCTTTTTACCACCTAAAAGACGATGTGCCTCTTGAGACGAAGAAGCGAAGGCTGGAGGAACTGTCACAGACATTCAGGAAATGCGCCCTTGAGATCAACCGCTCTCTGATAGACACTGAGCAGCTGGTGCTTGTTGAAAAGGTATTTATGCCACTGCTGTGCTAAGTACAGTTCTTTGTTCTGAATTATCGTGTTAGCTTTTCTTTACAAAATTTTTTAAGAATGAGTTCGTTATGCAAAATGTTATGATGAATTGCTTCGCAAATAGTAACCTCGTTCTCTTCAGACAAGCAAGCGTTCTGCCAGTGACTGGATGGGTCGTAATAATGGCGGAATCAAGGTTATTTTACCCAAATGCGTCCTACCTGATAAAAGGTCTGGTGTGAAGGAGGTGGAGCCTGGAGATTACGTCGCAGTGAAGGTAATATGACCCATTACGTATAATCCTATTAAAATTTTCATTAAACAGCTTATTAAAGGCTGAAGCTGTTAATTTTAAGTGCATTTGTTTTGTAATATTGAGCTATTTTTTGGGACGCTTGAACATACCAGCATATCTTATTTGGACCGTGCACAACACGGCCTGTAGGAACGGCCAAATTTAGGTTATTTTTAAATATCTCTTTTCCCTTAAAACAAACCAGTCAAGAAGTTAAATTCACATAGTTTTTTTTCTTCAGATTGTTGCAGTAGTCTTGTATGCATCATTTTTGTTATAGAGGTAAATCAGCTGATTGAAATAACATGGCCGTGTAACGTGATTTTATGGCGTGATGCTTAACGCTGCTGCTTTCTTACCTGAGCCGATTAAGTTAGTGCGAATCATTTTAGTTTTTCAATGTTAACGTTCAGAAGTGATCTGACAGATAACCATGTACGAAATTCTTAAACAGCCTGTGATTACCATCGTTTGCCATGGCAGTGCCACATTAGTCGACACTGCCATCAAAGCTGCTCATAATCTTGCCTAATCATCTGTTTAACAGTGAAATCGCTGAGAATCGTTCTCGCTGATAGAAAACGAGAGAAACTGTCTATCGTCGTCCGGCAAAAACCTTAAAACAACAGAAGTTCAGCGATATTTCGATTTATCCATACTTTGGTTGCCATAAAGCAGCAATGTCAGCATCTGCACCAAGGTCTTCTTATATTGTTTTACTGTCCAAAGGTTTTATTGTTTCTCGTAGGCATTAGATGTAGCTGTTTGCAAAACTCGTTGAAATACAGGCAAGAATTTTCACCTGCTGTGCCTAACAAATTTGAATCTTAACAGTTGAAAAAGGTTTAACTTTTGTCATGTTTGACTTTTGTGTAAGTAAAAAAGAAAATTTTAAGCATCGGAATGTCCATCTTCCTTAAGCTTTCCTGATGGGACCGTTTTTGGCGTCCATCTTTACATAAAATTAATGGTGGAGCGCTGATCTCAGTTCCTTTTCCACTTGCCAGAAATGCTTTATTTTAAATTCAGAATCGAAGCAGGAACGTGGCAGGCATATTGTGCATAGTCTCCTGATTCTTTCCCACACCTTAGAAGGAAGAAAGTCAGGTGACCCCGACTTGAACTCGAACCCGGGGCCTGTCATTTCTGAGTCTGACGCTCTACCGGCTGACTAACCATGACTTTTGTAATGCCATGTACCATGTAATGTTTGGGTTGTGCTCAGATAGCGTGATTTTCCTACCATTTCTGTGTATAAAACAAGTATTTTTACGGCTATTAAAAATGCTATCTAATATGTTTCTTTATCGCATGCGATCCCATTTTTACCTGATACGCATTAGGTGAACAAAAGTTTTACTTTTTCGATACTTTCTGCAAGGTACAAGTATTTGAGTGACCCAACTGGAAATTAATACATTTGCAGTTGCTTTGCGATTACTAACTTTGCCATCATTATCTGTTCATGATTTATCTCGTGGCCACTTAAAGAATCTCACGTTGTGTTCAGACTGACTTTTATTCTTGTAACAGTTTATTGTGTTGTTTTAGGTAACTGATGCTTCCTCGGAGGTTCTTAAAGCACGACCGCTGTTTTGTACGTCTATGAAGGACTTCGAAGTTTTTTAGACCTTTTAAAACCAGTGCTGTTCGTCTGCTGTAATTTTTGCTGCTTTCTGCGCCCTAACTTCTTGCAGGTTCAGAGATTAGCCTTTACTTATGAATGAACATTTTCTGAAAAATGCAGTAAACGCGAATTCTTTGCATAAGTCTCATAATCGTCACAGCTATTCCTATCTTCATATAGATTCAGTTGTTGATGAAACGATGTAAGATTCCATAACGTTTGTTATGGAAAAGCTCGATTTATTTTAGTTGACATCTGACCACTGTTCAACAGACTATCATTTTTTGTATAAGTAATAACCTGCAAGGCAGTTGAGCAGCAAAAACTAATCTTAATAAACAACAGCTGAATTCTCTGGCTAAGTTTGATCCAGGGCTTAACTGAGAGCTGCATGTCTGTCATTGGCAACTGCTGTCATTACCGCTCTGCGTTTCAAATTATGAACAGATGATGTACTGTTGAAGATACTTTTGCTTCGAAGTCACTGGTCTAACCAATATATGAACGAGGATGACTGAATAAGTGCAGAATTGACACCTTTAATCTCATAAAGGGAATAGGATGTTCAGAAGCTGTCGAAAATGCTGTTTTCCCCAAACAGGTAAAAAACAATAATGGTAGTATTTTCTTACACATTGAAAGAAGTAAAATTGCCGTCCACATTTCCATGGCAGGTGGATGACATGAATATCAGTTTTACAATGCTGCAGTCGGTCAGTTTGATTACTGCTTATCCTTTCAGGTGGCGAAGGCAGATGCGTCAGATTGTCTCCAACGTTCTCGATCTGGTAACTGCGTTTGAACTTAAGCAACAGGTAATCCTAGTCTGGATGAGAGTCTGTAACTCATGCCACGTCATATATGCAGCCAAGGTTTTTGGATGATGTTTTGAGTAAGTAGTAGCTGTAACATCTTCCTTTCTAGAGGCATTTGTGAAACGTGTCTACACCATCGCAGCTGTGATTTCTTAATTTGAAGAAGCAGTGGGTGTGCACCAGAGTTCTCGCGGATTTCTGTACTCGGGACCATGTTGAGACGCATAAAACCAGCGACTCTTCTCAGAAAGCCCACTTCAGCCGCTTGTACCCAGTGGCAAAGATATTCAGCTGTGGTCCATGAATCGTCACTGCAGGCAGGCATACGTGGGAAGATCGACTTTAACACAGGGAACTCAGTTTTCATAGTCAGCATTGCTTTAGTCATAATGGTTCGGGCTAGCTCAGGCAGGACGTTGATGGTCATTCAAATTTAACCTACCAACTGCAGTATTTTATTGGCACGCTACGAAGTGAGAAATCGGGACCATTCGACGATCTAATGGCAAAAGCAACCAGAGAATTGAATGTAAAACATTATCTTCCACGTATACGAGAGTGAAACTTGCAAACCACATCGAACGACAGTTTGACCTAATACAAGAGATGATGACTGGTTATGTAAAAACCGAGTCCAAGCTACGTATGAACGACTTAGGGCTGCAGCTGAATAGCGCGGTTTAAAGCCGATTAGCATTCCGTTTCTCAGTCAGAAACAAACTTCCTGATTTACGCGAGAGGTCAAACTGGCTGTCAAAAAGAAAAAGCCTTCATTCAAGAGGTGACTCTGAAGAAACGGGCATTTGAGTCGATTGAAGTACGAGGATACACGCAAGACGGCAGAAAAAGTAGTAGCCAAAGCGAAAGTTGATTCCAAGGAAATGTTCTGAGACGCAAAAGTCGAATTTCTAGACGGAACAATGTATTCCGGAAGACTAATCGCCATCTTCAAGATAGAAAGAAGGACTATCGTGAAATCCAAGTCCGGATGCCTTCTAATCATCTTACCAAGGATGACGATAGAGCGAGAGCACATCGAGGAACTAATTAATCTCGAGCAACTGCACGCGGCCTCGCTTGAACAACAACAGATATTAGTGATCCAGTTGGAGAAGTCACATAAGGCATGCACGCTTGGTACTCAGCCTGCTGGAAGGGATGAAATCTGCACAATGTTTATTGCTTATTGTGGCCAACATATATCTGTGAATGAGCAATGTCAGCGGGAAAACACTGTTCAGAAGAATGGGTGTTCTAGTTCCCCTATTCAATATAGGAAACCATACCCATTGCAGGTATCAGGGCATTACTTTTTTGAGCCCTCGAAAAAATTGAGCGTAGTGTTAGATAGGATGAAGCGTAGAATTGCCGACACAGGTACAATAAGAGCTATATTGCTTCAGATTTGACCGAATCACCCCAGACAAAACATTCATAAGATGTAGGGAACTGCGGAAGTCTGCTGGCTCCGTTTATACGCGAGTTGTGAACCTGGAAAGAACTTTTGATCAGATCCCGCGCAACTTGCTTCCGTAGCAACAGTTCCTACGAAGGTGTGATCGACTGCCTGTTGCTACTGGGCATCTCTCCGTCATGTA